CTTCTATGTGTTTTACCTTCTATGTGTTTAAATGGAATCATTTAATCTTCATCATAACCTTATTAGGTATGTACTGCTATATTTCCATAACACAGTTGAGAAAATTGAGGCACAGAGTAAGAGAGTGACTTTTCCAAGGTTGTACGTTTTTATGCAGCAGCACCAAGATTTGAATCAAGGTTGTCTGGCTTGAATTGAATAGGGGCTGAGACCTGGAAAGCCATTCATTCAACAAATACTTCTAAGATACTGATTCAATTATTTGACAATTACTAAGTTGGGTGAGCTGGCTCACCCCTATAATCCCAGTAGTTTGGGAGGCCCAAGTGGGACAATAACTTGAGACCAGGAGTTTGACATCAGCCTGGTCAACATTAGCCAGACCTCATCTCTACAAAAATAAGAAAAATTAACCAGGTGTCCTAACTACTCAGAAGGCTGAGGCAAGAGGAAGGCTTGAGCCCAGGAGTTGGAAGCTGCAGTGAACTATGATTGCACCACTGCACTCTAGCCTGAGCAACAGAGCAAGACTCTGTCTCAATAAAAAAAATACACACACACACACACACACGCACACACATATATATTACTATAGGCCAGGTGGCGATACAAAACAGACAAAAAATCAGACAGGGTGGCTCACGCCTGTAATCCTAGTACCTTGGGAAGCCAAGGCAGGAGGATTGCTTAAGGCCAGGAGTTCAGAATAGCCTGCACGAGAACAAGACCCCACCTCTACAAAAAAACAGAAAAATTAGCCGGATGCGGTGGTGCACACCTGTAGTCCCAGCTACTTGGGAGGCTGAGACAGGAGAATCACTTGAGCCCAGGAGTCTGAGGTTGCTGTGAGCTAGGCTGACGCCACTGCACTCTAGCCCGGGCAACAGAGTGAGACTCAAAAAAAAAAAAATCCCTGCCCTCAGGGAGCTTACATTCCAGTGGGAAGACAAAAACGATAAATAACAACAATAACAAAAAGCAAATCCTCTGGTTTATATCCCTTATCACTGTCTCATACGCCAGAGAATTTAGGGGGGGAAAACCGTGAGGGGGAGAGGGAGTGTTGCTGTTTTAAACAGAGAACCTGCTATATGACGTATTCTTGTCCCCACCTCTAGAAATGAGCTCCCTTAGGGACCTTAGGGAAGGACTTCGTCTTGTATCCCATTGCCTGGTATCTGGCATGCAGTTGGTGCTCAAAAAATATTGAAAGAATGAATGAATATAGACATCGTCCTCGCCTTCATGAAGCTTACTATCTAGCAGGTGACATGTCCATAAACATATAATCACAATCTTCAACAAGTGCACTCTGAAGGACATGGGTAGTGTGCTAAGATGGAGCATGTGGGGGAGGGGTGTCTACTTTAGATAAGGTGGTCCAAGAGGGCTTCACTGAGGAAGTGACATGGTGACATTTGAGCTGAGACCTGATGTATGAGAAGGAGCCAGCCTCATGCAATTCGGTGGGGAGGAACATTGCAGGGAGAGGGGACAGCCTGTACAAAGGCAGGAGCTGGTGGCTTTGAGGAGCCACAAGGAGGCCAGGGCGACTGAATGGAACCAGCTGCGGGGAGAGGGAGCCAGGTGCAGCTGGAGAGGTGGGCAGGGACTGCAGGTCACACAAGAAACTAGGGGCAAGGAAGGGGCTTTGAGTTAAAGCCTAAGAGCAACGGGAAGCCATTGGAGCATGAGGCAGAAGAGTAATAAGTTCTGATCTCTGATATGTTTAAAGTCCCCCAAGCAGCTGAGTGGAAAACAGATTGCAGAAGCAGGGACCCCCACAGGCAGAGGGGTCAGACAGAGCCTGGGAGTTCAAGGTGTATCTAGGCCCTCCCTGGGCCCTGCCTGCACTCCCAGCTGGCCTCACACAGAGGTTGGCACACCCAGAAGCTGCCCTGGGGCTGAGGAGGCAGAGCTGAGGGTTCCTTGGCTCCTGGGCTCCTCTCTCATGATTGCTGATGAGCGCCAGGCTGAGGTGGGGAAGGGGGCCAAAGGACAGAGAGCAGGCAAGGACCAGAGGCAGAGAATTAAACATAGAGGCAGTCACAGGAGGAGAGAGACAGAAGCAAGAAAAGAGTGATGAGGGAGAAACCAAGGTAGACAGATGCTGGAGCAGGCATGAGCCAGAGGGGGCCACCCAGATAAAAGGAGAGAAAACTGGTGAACAGAACAAACCACCAAGGCTGCTATTTGCAAAGGACTCTTGAGGGAGCCTCATGACAGGAGTTTACCACTAGTCCCATTTTATGGATGTGGAAACTGAGGCTCAGAGAACATAAAACACTTGCCCAAGGTCACACAACTAGTAAATAGCAGACTCAGGACTTGAACTCAGGTCTGACTGATTCCACATCCCTTTACTCTTTGTGCAGGGAAAGATGGCAGAAACTGCTATGGAGGGAGAAAGAGAGTGCGAGCAACAGGTGGACAGGTGAAAAGAGAACATTCTGTCTTACTTCAAAAAGACCACAAACTTCTATAATCCTTGAGAAGGAAGGAAGAAGGAAAGTCCTGGCCAGGAGTGACCAGCCCAAATCTAGGGAAAAGGAGATGACACCACAGACAGTGCCAGGCCATGAGGAAATTCAATTCCCTGCAACTCATGGAATATTTATGACACCTCCCCTGTGCCAGGCCTCATATTGAGTGCTGGCGTCATGGAGATGAACCAAACACGGCTCCACTCCTGCCTGGAGGGGGAAGTGGGCACATAAATAACTAAGAGACCATGTGCTAAAGGCCATAACACCAGTCCAGAGAAAACACAAAGGCAGCAGCAGTTTACTCAACATAGGGGATTGGGAAACAACATCAAAGAAATGATATCTGAACCTGGAGTTTCCCAGGTGAGGTAAGGCAAGGAAGAGCATTTTAGGCAGAAGGAACAGCCTGAATAAAGGCACAAGACAAAGAAGTGCTGGGAAAGGTGGGTATCAGATGTGGTTGGATCATAGGCTATGCACAGTCCAACAGTAGAAGATAAAGCTGGAAATACAGGGTGGGAGTCAGAGTGCAAAGGGTCTTGAATGCAAGGCCAGGAAAATTGGACTTGAGCCCTTCAATCGGTGGCTCTCAAACGATGCCCCTGGGGGAACCCAGATGGCCTGGACTCTAAGTGAGGGCTATTGAGATGCACAGGGGAGCAAAGTCCAGCCCTGAGGAGGAAGGCTTGCTGGATGATTCTTTAGGCTTCCTGGCTGGGCTGCCCAAGAATTCAGAAGAGCCAATTTGGTGGAGAAGATACTGTCAGCAGCTCAATGTTACCTAGTAAATCTTACAACTTTGGGGGCTTATTTTGTACCTCTCAGCACAAGTAGGCCTGTGTGTCATTGTGAAAATAGATGAGTAAAACTGGTTATTGTGTGTGTGTGCATGCACATGTGTATGCTTGCACATAACTGTGGGACCATGTCCTTCCCCCACCATGAGACACTAACTTTCTCTAATAATAAAAACAAGTACAAATATGTATTGAGCACCTACTGACCCAGACCCTAGTCTGTGTTGTATGTGATGTTTCTCATTTAATCTTCACAATAACCCCCTGATAATATTTCTCAAATGCTTCCATGTACCAAGTATTATACTAAATGCTTCAAGTGAATAATAGTTTGCTTGATCCTCACAACCTAGAAACATAACTATTATTCCCTCAATTTTAAGCATAAGGAAATGGAGACACAGAGAGGCCAAGAGACTTGTCCAAAATCAAATGACTGGAAAATGGCAGAGCCAGGACTCAAAGCCAGGTGTGCCGGAGTCCAGCTCCCACACCCTTAATGACAGTACTTTGCTGTGCTCTCTTCCTGAGAGGAAAAGCTCTGACATGGCAAGCACTGGGTCAGTAAAATCGGACAAAGGAACTCTTCCTTATCCTTCAAAGCCCTGGCTCAGTGTCTTTCAAAGCTTGTTGCGTGGGCCACCTGCATCGGAATATTCTTGGGAGCTTGTAAGAATGTAGATTCCTGGAACCCCCACCCCACAAGATTCTAATTCAGTAGGTCTGAGATGGGACCTTGGATTATTTTTATGCACACAGAAGATTTTGAGTCACAGGGCTCCTACAGCACCTCCTCCAAAATCCCCGGCCCTCACCCCCACCCCCACGCCAGAGCACCTCTCTTCTTCAGACTACAGCAGTGCACTCTGGCATGTGCTAACGTTCAACTGGGGTTTTAGTTATTTTCATATCTTCCCTATACCAAAAATAAGATCTAGCTTCTTTACAGGGCTACATTTTTTTACAAAGCCCTTCCAGTGTCCCACTTAATCCCTTTCTACACCGTGAGCATTATGAGAGGGGCCCCTTCTCCTTGTGATTCCTGCCTCATATCTGAACACACTTAGCATTTTTTACAATGTATTCTCCCGTCCAAGATAACATTCTTCTATTGCTTCATCCAATTCTCACGACAATCTGGAAGGAGGTGTATTATCCCCACTGTGCCGACGAGAACACAAACTCGGAGTTTCACTTGCTCAAGGTGGCCAAGCCAAGAAGTGGCAGGGCTAGGATCTGAACCTAAGTCTTCTAACTGTACGTCCAGTACTCCTGCCTCCATATCACCGTACGTCTGCTTTACCCAGTGTGGGGAAGTAGGCTTTACCTCCCTATGCTGTTACAGGGTAGTGGGGATTAAATGAGATAATGCCTTAAAGGGCCTGGCTCAGACAGCATTCAATAATTGGTGGAAGAAGGAGAAACTCAGTCCAGGGGAGAGTAAATGACTTTACCCAAATCAAACAGCAAACTACAAGCTGTAGACACAGCTTTAGGCCAGTCCCATACTCTCCTTGTTGGGAGAGCTGCTTTGGCGGCCTCGCAAGCCCGGCACCTCCCTCAAGTCCCTCCGCTGCCCAACCCCAGCCCCCCTCGCTGTCTCCCCAGGCGCCACCGCGTGGGCAGCAAAGGAAAGAAACGGCCCTTTAAAAGGAGCATGGGGCGTGGTCACGCGGCGGGGCGGGGCGGGACGCAGGCGCGCGGGCGCGGGAAGATGACGTAGCCGGGGCGTCCGGCTCTGTGTTGACTGGAGGGAGCATGTGGGTCTCCGGCTCAATGTCGGGGGCGCGAACCCCGGCCAGGCTGCTGCGGGGTGTGCTCCCCACTTCGGGCCGCCATGGGCCTGCCGCCTCCTCCTACTCCGCATCCGCCGAGCCCTCCCGGGTCCGGGCGCTCGTCTATGGGCACCACGGGGATCCAGCCAAGGTCGTCGAGTAAGAGACAGCGCGGAAACCGGGAAAGGGGATTAGGGTTCCTGAAGGGGGTTAAGTCCGGCTGTGGACTGGGAGGGAGGGGCAGGGTCCGAAGAAGGAGACAAAGGATAGCAAAACCAAAACTGAAGCCCATGGCGCTTTGGGTAGCCCAGAAAGTCAGTGCTTCGAGGTAGCTGGAGACCCGACAGAGACAATTACAAGGGTAATGATAATGTCTGACATCCATTGTCGAGTATGGTGTGTCAGGCAATCCCTTTTTTAAATGGGTGCTCTCATTTAATTGTCACAACAATGTCGTGGGGTAGTTACTTGATTTATCCCCATTTTGCAGATGACAAAACTGAGGCATAAGAGAGGTAAAAACACTCACCTGAGGTCACACAGCCAGTAAGTGACACAGTCGGATTTGAATGCACGTCTGACTGACTGACCTGCCTAAGTTATTTCCCTCTATTATTTTTTGGAGGGAGTTTTCAAAATACTTTTACTCCATTACTTTACTCCATTTGTATCTTCACTTCTCAGTAAAGTAGGTCATAGATCATTGTTTCTGTTTTACAGAGGGCAGGGTACTTGTCCAAAGTGATTTGGCTAATAAGTGATTGGAACAGGGACTGGAATCCATGGCTTCTGACTCCTATCTCATGTGAATTCTCCTCCACTGCACGGTGTATGCACCTTGGCCTAGTGTTTTTGTTTGTTTGTTTGTTGGTTTGGTTTTGGCCTAGTGTTTTAAAAAGCTGTTTCAGGAGTCCACTTGCTCAAGACCTCTTGAGCACGGCTCCAGGTCAAAGAAAAAAACTGTTTTGGAGCCATACAGACCTAAGTATCTGTATTAGGTCAAATATAGGCTTAGCCTCTTAGTAACTGTTTCATGTTGGGCAAGTCACTCAACTTCTCTGAGTCCTCATTACTTTTATGATTATGCCTTCCTCCTAAAATTCTATTGAATCTTAATTCATGAGTTTTGCATGTGCCTGATAAAAGAAAAAGGACAGCTTCTCTCGTCTCCTTGTGTGGAATCCTAGTAATTTCTCTGAAGTTCAAAACATGATACTTCTGCAAAGCATTCTATTCAACCTTAGCTTCACAGCTCAGTTGCCTGTAGTGCTTTTAGAAACTACAGTATATATTCCCAGACCCCATCCCTGAGGCACTTAGTAGGCCTGGGATGACCCGGACCATCGGGTTTTTAAAGCTCTCCAGGTGACTCTGCTGCGCAGGGCACGGTTGAGAACCATTCCCTGTGGATACAGATTATCAGGCAGGTAGTAATTCTCCCTCTGCCCCAGAAGGGCAACTTTTCCCTTCTGACCCAGATCCAGGCAACTCCTTGTTTGCATATGGACTGAGGCCAGAGACAGGATTCTCTTTGTAGTCATGTCTTAGGAGGTTTAGGGTAACCACACTGTCACAGAAAGAATCAGGTGTCCTTTAAATGTCATGGTGACTGGGTATCTGGGTCAGGTTACACCAGGTAAGGTCATGGTCCTACCCAGCGTCTGAACAGAGCATTCCCCAAACTGGCATGGTTTGTGATGCTTGCATTGTGGGCCAGAGTTCTGGAAGCAGGAGGGAGGGAAAGAGGGGCAATCTGCTTGGGTCTGAGAGGTTGTAGAACTCCTCAAAATGAGGCCCCCAGGGATCTCCTGTTTTCATGTCAACGTTCTAAATGTCCCTGTTTTCATTCCTGTCAACCCCAGACATTCCAGCTGTTCTCTCCTATACTAAGCCATTTCCCCTGTCCCTCAGTTTCTTTCCCTTCCTTCCGAAATGGATCCTCTAAATAAGTATGTGGGCCTTTTTCATAAGGATTGAACTTTCAGAAGGATTGAACTGCTGATCTAAATGAAGTAAGACTGAAGAATTGCAAACATTCTAGAAATCTCAGAATTCACAACTCTGTCCCTTGTGCAGAGTTCTGGATTCTCTATCAGGTAATTCCCAAAACCCTGATGTCCTTCTCTTTCCTTTCTTTTTTCCTGAAAGTCTCTTCAGATCTTTGCCATTCTCTGGGTCTTATGATGAAAATAGCTCTCGTATGTTATATACTTGCTGGGTAGCAAGCATTGGGCTAAGTTCTCCACATATATTATGGAATTTAAGAATCACAGTAATCCGGGCCGAGCCTGGTGGCTCACGCCTGTAATCCTAGCACTCTGGGAGGCCGAGGCGGGTGGATCGCTCAAGGTCAGCAGTTTGAGACCAGCCTGAGCAAGAGCGAGACCCCATCTCTACTAAAAAATAGAAAGAAATGATCTGGACAACTAAAAATATATATATAAAAAATTAGCCGGGCATGGTGGCGCATGCCTATAGTCCCAGCTACTCGGAAGGCTGAGGCAGTAGGATCGCTTAAGCCCAGGAGTTTGAGGTTGCTGTGAGCTAGGCTGACGCCACGGCACTCTAGCCCAGGCAACAGAGTGAGACTCTGTCTCAAAAAAAAAAAAAAAAAAAATCACAGCAATCCAGTTTGATCATTGTTATTCCCATTTTACAAGTAAGGAAACTGAGGCTCAAGAAGATTTGAAAGGCATTTGTCCAAGATCATACAACTTGGATGCCCCTTCTTTATTAAAAGTTCTTGATACAGGGCTGGGATTAGTGGCTTACATCTGTAATCCCAGCACTTTGGGAGGCCAAGGCCGGAGGATCACTTGAGGCCAGGAGTTTGAGACCAGCCTGGGTAACATAGCAAGACCTTGTCTCTACAAAAAATTTAAAAATTCCAGGCATAGTGGTATATGTCTGTGGTCCTTGCTACTTGGGAGGCTCGTTGCTTGAGCCCAGGAGTTGGAGGTTGCAGTGAGCTATGATCGTGCCACTGCACTCCAGCCTGGGCAACAGAGCAAGATATGTCTCAAAAATATAAATAAAAGCTTTGATATAGACAGAGGCCTGAAGAAACAATAACAATGATCTCAAATGTTTTTTGAGAATAAGATGGAATTGAAAATTGAGAATAAGGTCAGAAGAGAAGGTGAACTGATAGGTCATTCAGGCAACCCCAAGTTTCTACTCTGTAGGAAGGGCAGCAACCCCCTGGGGAAGATAGAAGAAATATTCCCATGTCTCCTCTCCTTTTCAGGATCCTGAAGTTTTAGTAAAACAGCATCCTGATCATCATGACTTTCTTACCTGCCTGCTACTAGTACAAAATGAAACTAAGCCGGAAAACCCATAGACACGTACTCATTCTGAGTTAAGCCAGATGAAATCTGGGGGAGCAGGTGGTGGGGACCCAGGCTGTGCAGATAGCAGGGCACTGTTTAGTCTCAGGGGATTTCTTTTTATAGTTGACGTTAGTGTTTAAAACCAAACACTCTGTGCAGATGACCGGGTTTTTAAACCAGAATTATCATACTTTGGGAAAAAAATAGCATTTTGATTTGGTGCTCTGTTGAGAGCTCTTTATTATGCCCAAGAATGAAGGGATTGGGAACAGAACTCATTGATTTGGTAAGTTAGCCAGACTCTATTCTTTTAGGGCTTACTAAAGCGCAAGCACTGAGGATGCAGAGATGAATGAATTGTGGTCATTGCCCTCAGGGAACTCACAGTCTAGTCCAGGAGTTGGGCCACCACAGTCCAGGGGGTGAGTGCTGTGATGGGATCTATTCAGAATTCTATGGACACCAGAAGAGGGGTACCTAACCCCCTTGGGCTGGACATAAAATGCTTTCTCTGAAGACAGGAAGTCTAAGTTGAGTCCCCCAGGAGGTTGGTGAGCAGTATGTGAGGAGAGAAAAGGTAGAAATGTTCTAAGCAGAAGAACCTGCATATGCAGAGACCCAGAAAGAAGAGAAAACATGGTGTGTCTGATCAGCTATTGTGTGCTCGGTATGTAGTCTTGTGAGAGAGGTATCCGCTGAAACCAGCTCAGAGGGAATTATCCTGAGGTCACAGGATTCAAACCCAAGCAGATCCCACAACCTGTAACACTCATACACTACCTTCCGTCTGGACTTCACAGTAGCCTGTGGAGTTTAGGGCCAAGCCCTCCTACCCTGGTTTCTTCTTTCTTGCCTCTGAAGGTGGAATTTGACAGGCATGCCTCCAAGGAATTGCACAGTAGACTGGGATTTTCCCTCTGCCCAGAGTGTGTGGGAGGGGTCTGCCACTCGGTGTCACTCCAAGTTGTCATTATTGTCTTACCCTCTCCTAGCAGCTCCTGCAGCTCTCTGGTATGGTTCCTGGCCTTTCCACCCTGGGTGAGGGGGAAGGGTCCTCATTTTAGAGAAGGAAAAGCAGAGATGACACAAGGTTAGACAGTGGCTCGGATGTTTCACTGGAGACCAACCTCAAGAGAACTGGCCTGGGTTCCAGTCCCACCTCTGCCACTGATTATGGTAGTGAGGAAATCACTGCAGTCTACATTCTCTACAGTTACTCCCTGAGGAAATAAAGGGGTGACCAAGATCAGCAGTGGTAGACTCGGGCATGCATGCTGACTGCCTCTTCCGTGCCACTGACAGACCTTCACAGCTCCCTTTTCTGTACACCTGAGAACCTACCTACCTCTTTACCCCATTCTCTCAAACAGCACTGCTCCTGCCAGGACAAGATGAGGCCTCGGCATCCTTCTCCACGTAAGACTGCAGCCGTGGAAACTGTTATTAGACGTGAATCCTCTTTGCTCCATCCATTGTCCAGCTCCAGCAAGTCTATGAAAGTGAAGCAGGCATCAGACTGCCTGCTTGCCAGTGGTTGCTCCAGCAACCTGCAGGGAGCAATGGTGTGGTGTGAAATCTGGGTCCTGGACACAAGATTTCACCAAGGATTCACTTAGCCCTCCGTTGGTTACATAATCAACAGCTCCCCAGCCTCTAGCCATACAGGGGCTGCGTGGCCATGGTTTTACCTGTCAAAGAGACAAAAGTCTCAGTGACTTGGGAGGCTGAGGCAGGAGGATTGCTTGAGGCCAGGAGTTTGAGACTATCCTGGGCAACATAGCAAGACCCCATCTCTAAAAGAATAATAAGAAAAATTAGCCAGGCATG